GGGGGGGGGGGGGCTGTGGCTACGCTTCTGAATGGCAGTTTGTCAGCATGTATGTAAGATGCAACTACAATTTGAATACAATTTGTCAGCATGTATGTAAGATGCAACTACAATTTGAATACAATTTGTCAGCATGTATGTAAGATGCAACTACCTGAAAAATAAGAACAACTTCAAGAAAAACAAAGTTAATTTTTCAGCTGGTTGCATCATACATCCTGCAAGTGAACATGCATGCACATATAAAATACAAGCAAATGATGAAGAACGTTCGTCGTTTTAACTGTGAGGGCAATTGAATATATACTTACATTTCTATTTACAAGTTGCTAAGGCTAAAATTCAATACCATGACACGTTTCACATCTTTCTAAAAAATACAGAAATATGTCAACAGAAACCACGTGTTACTAGTCATACACACATACTATTGTCAGTGACTGTGACTATTGCAAACAAAACACTCAAAAACTGACAAGTTTTATCATTACCATTTATAGGTTAAAAGAAACATTAAACCGAATAATACCTACACATTACTTTAAAATGCAGTTTAAATTTGGCAAAATACTGGAGTTCCAAAAATTCGACTTTCTCGACAACAAAATTACAAAACTTTAAATTTCCATCTCTTTCCGATAAAACACGAACTTATCCGAACCTGTTACGCACGTCAACGAGCAGTGTCGGCCATGGTGTCGGCATACGCCGAAAGCATATAAATATTTAAATATAAATGAACTTTCTGACAGAAATTTTATAGAATGATTTAAAAAGGAATTGACAATATAAAAACTTTCAGAATAAACAAAATGGCTCAAAATATCTACTGAAAACGTGAATTACTGTATTTCTTCAAAATATTATAAAATGAATTTTTTTTCAAAAATCTCGAATTTTGAGTCGAAAGGTGGAAACATCATACTTCATTATAAATTTTAGATCCAACATGGCCGCCGCAGAGGAGCGAGTTGATTCGAAATTTGACGAATTTTGCCATATTTGTGCGACAGTTACCATCGGTTTCGAGAGAGTTTGCGCCTTGGAATGCGAACGAAAACTTACTTGCAAAGTTCACCTAGGCAGGGGACGAATATATTTCGACATCCCGCGCACAGAGCTTGGGAAAATCAAGGACCTTCGTTCGGTTGAAAATCTTTTTGTAGTTGTGTCAGACATCGCATGCTTCAAGTCCTCCGCAGATGAAAGCGTAGAGGAAATACTAGAGAGATTTTATCACCTTCCTGAAGAACTAAACTGGGAATCTGCTATCAGAATCTGGAAAGAATTCAATGAATTTTCTTCTGATATAAATACTGTTAAAAACGTTTTGCCCATATTGAATCTGAAATCACACACAACCGTTGCTAAACAAGAAATTGAAAGTGCAAATCCTATAGGAAGTCCTGACGAAGAAAGGTCAGACCCTATAGGAAGTGTAGAAAGCCATAATCTATCAGTCGAGCAAACTAAGGCAGGCATAATTTTACCACGGTTCAGAGTGACGTGTACCCGAACTCATTCTGCACCGAGTCAAAAACATCCATTCACTTCCATGCAAGCAGCAGCAAAATTTGGTGGTGCCATAAATGACCAGTTTGGTTGGATAGTAGACCTAGAAAATTTCGATTTGGAGGTGTTGCTAAATATCGTAGATAGTCACGTCGTCGTCGGTGTTTCTCTTACAAAAGAAAGTTTATTCCGAAGAAATATCGTGAATTTTGGACCGACAACTTTGAGGTCGACACTTGCTTACTGTTTGACATTGTTAGCTGATATCAAGAAAGGTGAGATAAGCTCAGGGGTTGAAATTAAAAAAAAAATTGGTTGGCCAGTTGACTGCCAGTGAATAAGATCTGGTCGCAAAAATTTAATAACAAGTCGCCCCATGTCAATGTATTATGAAGTATTCTGTTCAGTTGTATACTGTAGATATATACAATAAACTAATAAAGAACTGTTTAATATATCGTATGGAAAACTATATGTAAAAGCATAATAAAATACTTGAGAGACTGGAATATTTCAAGGCTTTAGAATTACTTCATCATTTCAATTTTTTCTGTCTCCACGTGGGCTGCAGTTTGGCGCACGCTCATTTCAACCCCTGGATAAGCTAGACATCGCAATTGCAATCTTGGACCAAAATATTTTCATAGTTATTGTCGATTTCAAGTTCCTTTTCAACGCGCGGGTCCCAAGTTCGTTGCGAACTTACCAATTACGTTTCCAAGCTCGAAAATTGGGCGTGAACTTCGCAACGAAGTTCACAAGTACATTGTTTGAACTTCGTTTGTAAACAATCACGTTTTTTTGAAGGAGATGTGGTGTGCGATCCGCTATGTGGCAGTGGAGCTATTCCAATTGAATGTGCAAGTGAATGGCCATGTTCCTTCAACATTTCTGGAGACAATTTTCACTCAGCTCCTCCAAGGACTCAAGACAATGTGACTTATGTCAACAACCAGAGATCTGCTGAGAATAAGTATGGCTATTTTTCATTTTTGCTAGTGTAGAGTTGACACAGAAATTTCTGCTGTCAGATAAAACTTTGTACTTTTTCGTTGGTCCGTATCGTACTGGCTTTCCCGGCATTGAGTCGGTTCAACTTGTGAACGAATGCTAAATTATTTTGAAATCTATGCTAAATTGTTAACTATTTACCATTCAACATACGTTTTAATAAGTTATTTTCAACTTTAATGCGGAGCAATTTTTTTATTGTTGGTTTATTTTCGGATTGGAGAGTTAAGATTTTTGCAACAAATCCAATTTTGAACCAACTACACACCCGTCGTTGCATATCTGTTACTGACTTCATTTCAGATTTATCGGATAACAATTTTTGGCATTGAATCGAAATATCAAAATGCAGCTTAAGTCCTTTTTTGCATAATTTAATAACAGCAACAAAAACGAAGAAATTTTGGATATCAAATTCAAATTCTACCATCATAAGTAGTATCCTTTTTTTAAACTTTACTAGAAAAAGTGTCACAGTGGAAACATTTCTATGGGATGCGTGTCGTTTACCGTTGAAAACAAATGCAGTTGATGTGTTCATCACGGATTTACCATTTGGAAAGAAAAGTGGTTCAATGGTGAAGAATTGGCAACTATATCCTGAAGTTTTGTTCGAAATGGCGCGTGTTTGTCAAGTGAAGACGGGACGAGCTGTAATTTTGACGAAAGATAAGAAAGCCATATCGAAAGCCTTTACACAGACTGCACAGTTTTGGCGAAAGAGGTTTACGTATTGGATTAATATTGGAGGTTTGCAGGCTGGGGTGTATGTACTGCAGAGAACAGCTAGTGCAATGCAGAACTCATCTTAATGACATAAAAATTGATAATTTTGACGATTTGTTGATGTGATTCGGGCCAGCTTGGCTAGCCGAGATGAATAATTGTGTCACGTATTTTTTTCTTGACCATAAAAGATCTTTTGAATGAACGTTATACTGTTACTGGAATCAAAATAAGCTAATTAGCCTTTCTCACGAAGGCCAAAATCCGCCATTTTTGGGGTACTGTCTGCCCTTGTGAAATATTCTAGACAATTCAAACAACGTGAAAAGCGACTTTTAAATTAAAGTACTGTTGTAACTGTAAATTTACCATCATACAAACAACTATAATACTAAAAGGTCGCATTTCGTGGTGCGGATCTGACACAGGGCTCGAATTTTATCGCGGCAATTGCCGTAGAGGGAGAACAAAATGCCGTGGATCATTGCGGCAACGACGGCAATTTTTTGCCGTGTAGTCTGTGCATTACTACTTTGATACTTGAATTCAGATGTTGATCAAATCATGCGTAAATCACTATTTTAGTCTCAGTTTTCTTCGAAAAAAAAACACTAAAGAAATACGTAGACATGTTTCTAGCTTGTCAAAAATCCAAAGTGACAATAAAATTAAAGTTTTATTACAGTCATTTGAAAAATGCCGTGGAAACTGCCAAAATTGCCGTAGACAGCTGTTACGTTCTACGGCAATTTTTAACGCCATTACCGTCGATTGATTTCGGGGAAATTCGAGGCCTGATCTGAGACAGTGAGACTCTCAAACGTGGGAGAGGCAGTACCCCCAAAATGGTGGGAAAATCGGCCGCGAGAAAGGCTGATTCAAATTTGGAAACGTCATTTTGGATGTTTATCAAAGCCATGATAACAACTTTAATCTTTATTAAACTAATCGTCCCAGTTAACCGGGTCGGTTAGAATTGAGTGCAAAAATGTTGTTAGAGTTACGTGTATAACATTAAAAATTGCTTGCTTCACCTTCATTTTTATATTATCATTAATACTCGCATATGATTTGGCAACCTCGTTCCCAGGCTCTTCCCTCTTGTGGAGGAAAGATTTCTTTATATATAATAACTACAGTGACACGCAATTTGATTGGTCAGTCAATAGCCATGCAGGATCAGGCCATCCTGCACGAGGAATTAAAATGCATTCGCGGGATTCTCAAAATGTTATTGTTTCACAGCTGTAGTTATTTTATAAAACAATTACCAAATGGTTTTCCAAGCAAGATAGCGTGATCCATGCACTTGGGATGTTGCTCGACTTTTGGAAAGCATAAAAATACACTCGTCTGGGGCTTGAGTATTTTTACGCTTTCTGAAAGTCTCGCGACATCCCTCGTGCATGGATCACACAATCATGCACGGAAAACCATTCAGTATTCCTTTATTCCTCCACAAGAGGGAAGAGCCTGGGAACGAGGTTGATGATTTTGTGCGTTTCTAGGACTACTTTTTAATGGTCATAAATCTGACTCGCTCACAGTCAAAATCTATCAAAAAAATATTCAAGATTTTTTAAATGTATTTTTTGACCAATTTTATCATGGATGCCCTTCAAGAGGAATTCTGTTCAAAAAAGCTGCGCAAACCAGCCACAATACGACGTATCATCGTTTGCATTTAAGAATGGACAGTTGCAGATAAAATATTGTCTATTCGTATTTACCTCAGCCATTCAGCATGAAGCTACTCATGTAGCCTGCGAGCAGGCTCACGTGAAGCTAGTTAAATGTGATTGCTGATCAGATTGAAACCTCTCCAATGTTTGTGACAAACATCACGGTTCCTGTGAGCAGACGGTGTTTTTATCTGCAACTGTCCTTGATGCAAACAATTGTATATGGGTCTTTTAATCTCGCTATATTCATGAATATAACACTCAGTCACAATCAAAATCACAATCACCATCAAAACTATCTCCCCAACCGCCAACAGCATGTCCCACACCAAACCCAAGGAGTCCACCTGCTACAGCTCCACCTGCAGCACCTGCTAGAAGTCCTCTTCTTGACGATAAGCCACCTCTGCTTTGTGGTGCCTGATATTTAAATACAAAAAATGATGTAAACATAGGGCCCTATGGCTAGCTATATGGCAATAAAAATTAAGTTTATCTGATTGGATAGAACTTTTAAAATTAGATACAAAACTCCTGTACCGATTTTTCATATCTTGCTTAGTATTTGAAAATTTGCATTACTAAGAAATAAATTATATGGCACACTTGAATCACCTGATTATACTGTTGTTGTTGATAAACTGGATAGCCATATCCGGCTGGAGGTGGCGGGTGTGTTTGGTAACCAGGGTACTGGCCATACATCGGAGGTGGTTGAGCTCCCATTGGTTGAGTGTACATTGGGGGTGGGCTCTGGTATGTTGCTGCTACAGGGTAAGGTTGAGGCATACCTCCTTGAGCAAGGTAGGGTGCCCTGGGGGGAAGATATTGAGCAGTGGGATAACCCATTGCTGGTTGGTGTGTAGGGTATGGTATTCCAGGCTGACCGTTTGGATAAGGCATGCCAGGTTGATAGCTTGGATATACATTTCCTGGTTGAGGTACACCTGACATCTGAAAAACCAAATTATATATTATTTCATTATAATTGCAGATTTCATTCTTATAATTGCACGATTCATTTGGTGGACATTAAAACCAAATGAACAAAAATGGACATTGATATAGAAAATAATTAAGTTTCACTATACATCATGCTTAACTTCATTTGGGCATTGTGATCTCCTGATTCATTTATTTATACAAAACTACTATGATTTACAATTGTGGAAAAACAAGAATTAAGATTACCATTGTTATTGCACTTTGTCTTATTTCATTCAACTTTTGCACCCAATCTCTAAACAAAAATATTGGAATATTGTTCAGTACCCAGTCTTTCTAAAACAGGAATTGGATTGACACAGCAAAATTTCTGTATTACAGAGGTGCCCATTTCATAGATGTTTTAAACTAAATACACTACATGAGAGTTATGACCAGACTTTCCACCTTAAGTTTGTGAAATGGAAAATGGGTAAGTGAGAATAAAAGTAACATGCACATATCTTAGGGGCACCCTCTTGTCCACTGGCCCATTCAAATATTTTCAAATATCAAGCATATAAATACAGTTTCCACAATTAATCAGCCTGTTAATGCAAGAGCAAAATCAAACATTCATCGGTCAGGCTTCAATATTATGGTAAAATTTGTTCACAAAAATACAAATTGTGAATTGAAAAGCATTATAAATACTAAAATTCCTAAGGAACGTCAAATATTTCATGTCTAAGGAAAACATAGTCATGCATGTGTGCGAGTAGAGAAAGATCCAAATGTGTGTGTCTTATACTATATGCATGAAAGTTGGAAGGTCTATATATGATAGGATATTAGAAACTGTCCATAACAGATGCCTTTATATTAGAGAGGTGTCTATAAGGATCAAGAGGTTTACTGTACACATGTGGTAACAAGTTTTCAAATATAATAACAAATTTTAAAAAAGCACTTCTGATAAAAAGTATAACTGGCAGCCACCCTTCAAATATACTCACCTTGCATCTTGCTCTGTATCTGCCAAAACAGTGATATTCTTTACAGAAGAACGAACACTAAATAAGCAATTCACTCGACCAGATGCCTTTTGTTGTATATCATGTTCAACTTCAAAACCATAATCTATTCTTTGGCAATTTTGTCTTACATTAATTTTGCCATCACATATTTGACTACCAGGTGTCTCGTAATACACCAGTTCACCATCCTGGTAGAGGACAAAATATCGCCTTTTCCAATCTCTTTTCAACAGTCCACCTAAAATTCAAATCAATTCCATAATAGGAATATATCAATTTATAATTACACATGTAAAAATTTCACCTGTCAATTAATAGATGTGTTTGCAACACCCTTGTAGCAAGCTTGTCAACAAGTAGTAACAATGCTGTTATTTTATCAAGTTGCTACAAGATTGTCACTTACAACTTGTTGACAAATTGTTGAATTGCAGGACGATAACAAGTTGTTAGAACAACTTGTAACAAATTTGTTGAGCTCAACGTGGCAAGTTGTCAACAAGCCGTTGACAGCTTGTCAACAAGCTGGCTGGGAACAAACAGTGCGAACACATACTGTTGACAAGTTGATCAACATGGAACAGCATTGCTACAAGTCTGCTGCTGGTTTGTTACAACTTGTGCATTTCATAATGCACAATTCTAAAATGCCCAGGGTGTCATAAATTTTGCTGATACATGTATATTAATAAAATTAAAATAATAACTGGTCTCTCATTTTAATTACATATAATCATCAAATTTTATTGCTGTGCTTGGATTAGAGTGCAGCTCAAGCTTCTAAGGATTGAGTTAAGGTCACGATATAAGTTTAGATTTAATTTTTGTGATACGTTTTTAAAAGAACCTGAGCTTGATATAAATATGTATTAATGCTTCAAATCCTTCCACGACATACATTTTGTACAGACTACGTACAAGTAAATCTGTTTATGTCTGCCAGCAAAATGAAAAAAATCCACGGGTCTATTGATTTTCAATTAAAAATGGAAAGTCTTTGACATAAACTTTGAAGACAAAGAATGAAATGGCGTAAAAAAGTAAAAACGCTATTTTACCTATTTAAATATTTTATATGATTATTTATGTTTATTGCTGTCAGTTGTCAAATATGCTGCTAGTCGAGTGTTAGTATTAATGAACGTGTGAAATACGAGCGGTATACAACTTTTATATACTTACTTAATTTCTGTAGAAATCCCGACTTAATGGTGGCCATTTTTAACAAGCAGACAATTTAGATAACGTATTGAATTTTACTATCGTCATAGGTATTTTTTCAGCGCATGTTGCTCTTTGTCACTTTCTAATCTGATCAAATTAAAAATACGGAAGTTGCCCTGGGGAACGAAACCGTATAGTGATCTCGATAGGTAACCGGAGTGATAACGAATAACATGCCAAGGGTTTTAATGTTGTAGAATGTTGTAGACGTTGACTTGTAGACAATCGAAAATAATATAATGTATTCTCAACTGCCTATATGATTTAATACAGTCAGTAGAAGATTATCTGATGGTGGTCCAATAGGTTAGCACTATTTCCCATCCAGCAAACTGACCTGACGTCATTTTCGGAAGTTAGAAGAGGTGTTAAATGGCTATGAAACTAACCCAAACCCTACCCCTACTCTAACCGCAACCCTAACTCTAACCCTAACCCTAACCGAATTAATAAAAAAACGACTTTAGAAAATCGATAAGGCGGTTTGCTGGATGGAAAAAAGTGCTAACCTGGTCTCAATAATTGAATTTATTGATCACAAATTTCAAGATAAAAGATTGACCACCACACTGCTTGCACCGGTGGAGAAATCTATTCCAAGTAGTTGGTAGAGATGCAGTTGGCCAACAGACGCAATTTTTTTATGGGTTATATCAAGAATGTCCAAAAAAGTGGCACGGACGCAACCCCCCCCCCCCGTCTCTCCAAAGGATTTACACCTTTAAAACCGTCAAGAATTCCTATTCAACCTTGTTCTATATGGATTACAGTTCTATGTTAAGATCTAGATCCACTTACAGTTAACCACAATAACGTTGAACAAGATTACAGGGGATAAATGGTAGTTGGTTTCACACATCCATTGTTAAAGTTACAAAAGTTACAAAAAGTTTAAAAAAATAAGTTGGTAATGACTTCATATGCAATGAATATTAAAAGTAAATTCAAAGTGTCTTTTCTAGTAAAGATAACTTTGGTTGCTGGTATAGTGTCTACAGTTTCAACTCGAGATAAAAAATCCACGAGTTTATAAAATGACTGTTAAATGTTCTAATTTCTAAAAAGGTTTCTTTGAAAACCACTAAATACTAAAAATGTTTTCTCGAGTGAAAAGTTCGTAATTAACTACTACTGCTGGACGATCTGCCAGGCGTATGCCTTGTCACTTCAACAGGCTTGCAACCTTTTGATTTTTTCTTTAACTGCTTACAACAGCTCCATCCTTGATGGATGGTATATTCTCCTGGATGATCCATTTTCACGCAGGTCCGAGTCTTCATTGCCGCGCGAGGCATGTACATCCGGCATTTGGTGCAGCGGACGTCTTCCAATTGCTTTGTCAGTATGCGCACGCATTCCAACAGACCTTTAATTGTAATAATGATAATATTTAATGTATACTGGTTGCCTAATTGACCTAACCAAGCGAGGCTCATGATACACCGAGTGCTCAATTACAAAAGTCTAAGGGTTAGTTTTGGTGTTGGAGCGCAACACAATATTGGTTTATACTCAATTCACAACAACTTTAAAGTGCGACTAACCACTAATATGATTTTTGGTATGTGTAATATTTGGGTCATTCGAAGAAAAAATGTAATATATCTTTATAATAAAAAATCCCATCTTGGTCAACTTTTTCACCGTCAAAGGTTCCGGATATGATGTCATTAGGTGAATTGCAAATTAGTTTTCCTCTGTTTTTGGACCAAAAATTCACCTAATGACATCATATCTGGAACTTTGACAGTGAAAAAGTTGATCAAGATGAGGTTTTTTACTATAAAGATACATTACATTTCTTTTCAGAATGACCCAAATACTACACATACAAAAAATTATATTTGGAGTTTAACTTAATTTATAGTCGCACTTTAATAATGCTATTGTTCTAGTTTACAGAAGCATATAGAATAGAGTTAACTATAAGCTTTAGAATAACTCTAATACATAATTATAATGCTTACCTTCGTTCTATTCTGTGCTTCTGTAAACTAGAACATGCAATACTATTATAGTAACTAGGCATACAAGTTATCTGAAGTTATGAATTTATTAGGTAGCAACGACGCTAGCAACGTTAGCCAAAATGTACATACGGCCATCCATGAATCTATGATGAATATTATCATACAGGCGTACATTTTTACTTGTGAGTATTTGGCCCTCACCTCGCCCTCCTGACTCTAACCGGGGTATGCCCCCTTCACCTTAATCGGGAATGGCAGAGAGTTTGTTGTGGAGGACGGAAAAACGGAGTACCCGGCGAACCTTCGAACCACAGCAGTGTTCAAAGTACACGAGTGTTCAAACTTCAAAGCACACCAGGTCTAGTAGACTAACTACAGTTGACCTGAGCTGAATGAGCTTATATTCATGCGATCTTGAAACGAAACCTTGACATAAAATATACAAAATCTTTGGCATCAGATTATCATCAAACGTGTCCAAAATGCGTGAAATAGCGTTTCCCAAACCTTAAAATAAGAAAAATTTCCGTTGGGTCCCCCCCCCCCACACGTTTGGAGCTGGCTACGCCCCTGCCCAATCCCCAACCTTGCTTGCGTTCCCACCTTTGGCCTTTTCTTCTGCAGTCTTGCTGGATTTTTTCACTTCTTCGCTTTCCCGTCTAGCCCGTTGACAAACGTTACGAAAATTCGAGAACTCCAACTCTGTCAGCAAGTCAGGGTTGGCTTCGATAGACCATTCCAAGTCAGATAAACTTGCCGTGTCCAGGCAATTGCCTTCGAGAATCAACGAGCGGGCTTCCGAAATATCCGAGTCCGTTTTTGCGCTCCAATTTACGACAATCTTGAGTTTGTCGCCATCTTGAAAAATGCCCTTTTTGCTACCGTAGTTTAGCAGTGCACGAACGAAATTAACATCGACCACACTTCGCCTAAACAGGCTTGAAGGCACTAAACTTTTCCAGCGGACTGCGAAAGCTTCCACAGCAAGCGACACTAACTCGTGGACACCTAAGTAATTGCCATTCTCGATAGTTTTAAAAATTTCTACGCCATAAAAAAGCTTCTCGTTTGCTTTGCCCGTGTAGAGGTACCGTAAAAGCAGCTCGATATTAGACGAAGGAGAAGGCAATTCTATAGAAATCAGATCCATACACGTTTCCTGGTAGTTCCCGGCGAAAAGCGCTTCAAAGTACTCGCTTCGTAAGCGGAGATACTCAGAATGACAATAAAAGTGCCGTGAACCGAACGCCAAAACTTTATTCGAGAACTCAGGTCGGTTGAAATGCTCCAGCGCTTCGTCACCGTCAAGAATCTGCAGCTCTTTAGAGCCGGCGGGAAACACGATAGACTTGTCTTTTAAAAGATGAATGCTCAAACCTAACGAGTAGAGCTTGCTTAAAATCGCATCAAAGTTTTTCTTAAGAATTTCGACGTTCTCGCTGTTGGCTGTTGAGCTGTCCATGGCTTCACTTGAACTAACAACGAGCAATGCTGCACCGAAGTAGAAGCTATAATGATTTATGCGATTGTCTAAACATATTCAAATACGAGTCATCCCAAGTTTGCCCCAAGAGCGAAACTCTTTTCAATAGTCCTTTCTTATAATGCAACGAAGGACAAGACAATTTTTAGCGACGATTCGCAATGCATTACAAAAAAAACATTTGCATTGCGAATTGTCGCTATAAAAATTGTCCCTTGCCCTTGGGACATCGCATGGCCATGGTGTTTTTCCGCCTTTTCAAAATACCGGTATGTCAAAACAATGAGAAACGAGAACGAGAGTTGGCAAGAAAGAGTTTGCATGAGAGTGTTCTCAACTGAGAATTGATGAAATTTGACTGAATATTACCGCGCACGTCTTCATATCACCTATACTGTACATTTAAACTTTGCTTCCTTGAAATTGAAGATTTTTGCTTCCTTGCTAATTTAAGAGTTCTTTTGTTTCACAGACAATAAAAATATTTGCTTAATGTTGCTGTAATACCGACAGGTTCACACTGATCGTAAGAATCGGGGATTTCCATTGTCTGTGGTCATTGGTGTGTAAGATGCTTTGTCTGTCGGAAAAGAATACAATAGATCGCCGATGAATTACGACCAGTGTGAACCAGGCTTTATAAACATGGATCAAACACTCAATAAATGAAGCTTAATATTAGTAATCTAAATCTCTCCCAGCATGTTCTACAAAATATTTTGGCTGATAAAAAGTCTCCCTCAGCTTCATATAATCTAACTCAAGGCAAAAAGGTCCATTAATTCTGTCCATTATTGATATACCGATTGTTTTATAGCGATGGAAAGTTGGTTGTCTGTCTTGAAGATAGCCAGCTGTTGTGAACAAAAACTTGGTAAACGGAATCTGAAAATAAAGTTTGTTTCTTGCGTGTTTTTCGTTAATGATATAGTTGAAAGAATTAATAGATAACACAACATTTTGTCAGGAAAAAGGGCACATGAACGGCCATAAAATACTGTTTAATTAACTTGAACAAGCTTTTGTTGGTTGGGATGCAACTGCCTGAAAAATATAAGGAGAATTTCGACGTTTCAAGCTAATGCCCTTCGTCTGGAGTTACTAGCGAAGACTAACAAAGGGCCTTCGCTCGAAACGTCGAAATTCTGCTATTTTTTAGGTACATTATTGGCACTACTTACACTAACACAGACAGTTCATGTTTAATTAACTGTTATTACAACATGAGCAGTAACGTTGTATCGGATATACAAACTGAAGTTGAAGCCTGGTTCACACTAGCAATTTTGCCAGCGATTTGTCTCTTCCCGACAGATGCAAATGAGTTAAATTGCAGCTGAAACTATGAAATCATTTTGGAAATATACATTTCTACATCTCTTGCATGTCACTCATTCAGTCACATCCACCAGTTTTCACACTTTTTCAAGCTTGCTTGCAAATGCAGACAAATGGGTTTGAAATTTGAACTTTTTGAGGGAGACTTTTCCAACCATGCATGTTTATATTGATGTTGGACTGTGAAGTTCTTCCCAATCATATTATAAACACTATCACTTTATAACCAATTTATAAAATTATTTAACCTTGAATGGTTAGGCCTGAACCTTATATTTAACCAATATCTCATGATAATGTGGCAGGATATTTTTCAACTATCCGGCAGGTTTGTAAAATGCTCTATGTGGTGCACCCCTATTAGGCCCTATATACAAGGACTTTAAGAAAATGTATTATCTAATGTAAACTTACAGTGACTTCTTCCCAGAATGGACCACCTCTAGTATATATAAAAGCCTGGTACATGTCGTCTGTGTTATAACCTGGGGGCTGTATACTGACCATATATGTCCTGCCGTCACCACGTAATCGAAGTTGCATTACATCATAAGAAGTTACATCTGTGCTCAAAACTGTTCCCCAACGATTCTTAATGGAGAGGAAAAGAGCCTTAAACCTAATTTAACATCTTATTAGAGCGATGTCCACATGCAAGGACAGGAATATTTCTAAATATACAGAAATCTTTCAAATACATAAAATTCTCTAAAACAGACATCTCTCTATTAATACAGACATCTCTCTAACAAAGCCATCTCTCTACTACAGACATCTCGCTAAACAGACATCTCTCTAATACAGACATCTCTCTAAACAGACATCTCTCTAATATAGACATCTCTCTAATACAGACATCTCTCTAATACAGATATCTCTCTAATATAGACATCTCTCTAATATAGACATCTCTCTAATGGCTAATGCAGACATGTCTCTAATACAGGTCCATCTCCGGTTGGGCACTCTGCCCCCAGATGCTTGGGCTTCTGAATTCAACGTTGGGGAAAGGTCGGGCCATTTAATATTTCACATGTAGCATTGTTTCTTCTGTCTTACTGTAACATTTGGATAGAGGCATTTTGTTCTAGGAAATCAAACTGGGTGGCTGTGCATGCAATTCCCATCCCAAATTCTCATCCACAGTTCTGGGAACGAGATTGTTCTTGTACCCAGATGGTGCCAGGTGTGCCTAACCTGCAAACGGGCATGCTCTGGGGTATGAGTTGACAGATAAATAATACAAAATTCAAACTTACCATTTTTGGATTTAATCTCATCGTACAAAACCCACTATGTTTTGTGACCTTGTCTGGGGGTAGATCTGTAGAAAGGTGCCCACAGAAAGATGCATGCCCATTTTTTGTGCGAGTCAACTCAACCATTGATTTTCCACCCATAACTTCATCTGAAGTGCAAGTCCAACTATCCAAGGAAATATCCTCTTTAAAATTGCACACTATCAGCTCACGGAGTGTAACATTAGAAGCGGCTCGCGTGGACAGTTTCGCTGCAAAAAACAGCCTCAAACAGCCCTTCAAAGCAGCCATGTTGTTTAAGAGCCGTCAGACACAAGAACGTCAGCGGTCTAGGTAAAGATACGTAGTGTAAGTGCAATAAACTGATTCTGCTCATATTTGGTGTTCTCTGAAAACCAAAGGCGAACAAATGTCAGTAAAATGTTTTATTGTTTGTCTCAAACATGCAGTACTACTTGCTTTAGGAGGAAAATTGGACTTTCAGCAAGGCGAGGTGGAATTCTAGTTCATTCAGCATTTGTCACCTCACTTGCGCGCAAAATTATGCCTGGAAATATTCCAAGTCTTCCAAGAACAAATTTCATAGAAAAAAGAACAAAAACAACTTTTTCAGGAAATGGAGCAGAAAATAGACCAAGGACTTCACAGGAAAGAATTGGATGGTTTGAAAAATGGACAAAAATAGGTGTCAGTTCTGCAGAGAAATTTCACAGAAATGTTGCAAATACCAGGAACTTTCACACAAGTAGTAGACGTAGTAGCCACATGCATTCAGGAAAAAGTTCTGAGAAAATTGGAGAATGGGTGGGTGGTGTTTTGAATGGCAAAACTAGAATGAAGAATAGAGCAGAGGGATTGGGGGGGGGGGTTGCATCAGCAATAATTTTCATATTCCAGAATGACTAATTATATTGTGTTGACTGGTTTGTAAGTTGGTATGTTATTGATTTTGTCTTTGTTTTTAGAGAGAGAACAAAATATTTACTGTACCAAATATTTTGTGTTTTGGGAGAATACTGGCATCACCTGTCCTTGGATATTTTGTGCTTTCTGAGCAATATCTTACTGCATTAGTTCTCTTTGTAGTTGCTGGTTTTACTGATATGGTGAGCAGCTGGTTTGCAGGTTGATGCAATAATCAAGATGCCATTTGGCTATTTTCATGTTAGTTTGGACAATAAAAGCTTGAAGCTGACCAACATCCAACCCTGACCTAAGGGCCCACACCCTCCTACCCAAACTGTAGCAATTACCTGCCACCAAACTTACACAAGGGTGGCACCTATATGGGCCCTAAGCCCCTCCCCCCCACAAGGCCAGAATGTTATTGTTAGTATATCATATCCCAGAACTTTTCTGTTTTCTATGCAAAAGTTGGCAAAAAGTGCCACCCGCCCCTCCCGGAGCACTTTTATCCGGCACCCATGATTGCATATATGTGTAAATTCTGGGGTCTAATTTTCTAGCTCGATGGTTTCATTGCAAGACGTTTTCCAAGTCAAATGTCATATTTAGGTAGCGTTTTGGATCCAATTGCGGATAAAATTCTTGTTGGTGTGTTAACTGTTTCATTGTCCATAGCAAATCTTATACCAGGTACATGCAATGCTCATATGAACTTGTTTAAAACCACTTTCTCCTTGACCAGTAGAATAATGGCTGGTATATTAGACAGAATAAAAATATAGTATATGGCACATCTGGATGCCTTTTAGGATCTATTGCAGGTTAATCCATGGACTAATGCACAAGACTCTTGATCCCATGACCAATAAAATTATCTGGTATTAGATGAAGTCAAATATTGAAGATGGGTGCATTAGGGTGCATTGCAGCTTAATGGGTTAAATATAGGTTAATGATGAAGTCAAAATACAATTTTAGTTCATATGGTACGGTATGCTTGCTGCTGATACAGGCATAATTGTAATAAGTTTGTTCACTACCTGTCTGCCTTGGACATGGGCATACCCCTTTGCTATCCTAGTACCCATTGCAGTACTGCCACCCCTCCAGAGAAGTTAGGTCTACTGGTGGTATTTTGAAGGGTGCACTCTACCTGAAATCAGCATCCCTTGTTTGATAAGCCTTCCAAAGCCCCAGCCAAACAAGGATGAGAGTTGATGAGAGTTCCAACATTCTCACATTTGACCACAATAAAATCATCAACTTTGAGCTGGTTCAAATATTGAAGAGAGTTTATGAGACTTTTTTGCTCTTTTGACTATTAATTCCAACAGGAATTTCTATTGCAAATTGGCCCAAATTCTAATTGGATATTTCCATAGAGGATATTAGGTAATATCCGTAATATCTCATGAAATTCTTGTTCTCGTTTGACTGGGACTACGAGAATGCAGAATACTCTCATGGAAACTCTCACTTCTCAACTTTACCTTTGTATTTAATTAATATACCTAATGTGTTCTATTCCTAGTTCCGCTTGCAATTATTATACTTGGTCGTGATATTGGATTAATATTTGCATCCTTTGCTGTGAGGTTTATATCTTTGCCTCCACCTGTAAGTTGAGTTCTCTAAACTGTTGACTAAAACTGCAGCGGTATCATAAGTGGGCTGTGGAGATGTGCTAATCATCCTTATTTGCAGCTAAGCTAAATTGCGAAGCCGAAGGATGCAGCTCGACCTGATCGAGTCGACGGCTGTCTAAAGGCGCCTCTTCCAATGATCTCATGACTTCTGACCACAGAGCACAGCTACAGTGGAAGAGTCAGTTATAGTGGCTAATCCCAACCCACCCTGTCAACATTCCCTACGGGAGGAAACCAGAGTACCCAGAGAAAACCCCATCATAGAGCATTGACTGACTCATTTGACATGAATTGAATCCGGAACGAGAATCGAAACCACAATCTCAGAGGTAAAAGGCACGATTCTGCCTCCGAAGCCCCTAACCCACGGTGCACAAATTAACAAATTTGACACAAATACACATCTTGCCTTGAGATGAATTTACCATGTGAAGAAGAATGAAAGCACTGACACTGTACAGCCTACAATCTATACCAGTCATCTTTTTCTTTTCTTTAAACATATAATAGCGAGCTTAAGATCTACAACGCGAACTTACGACGCGGACGTCGCATTAAACAAGTTTTATTTTAAAACGATGGCAAATTCCATTAAAATATTTGTATCACAGTAAATAAAATGAAATTATACTGGGAAAAATGTACAACATAACAGAGGCTAGCAATATATTAAGAAGATATTTTTTATCATAAGTTTTTACGACTTCTATGACGACGAATCTTTGCAAATATCACGTCGTCTCGGATGGTAGTTTTGGCGGGAAAATGTGCATTCGTAACAATATAGTCTATAAAGCCTGGTTTCTATCATTTCATATGGCTGTTAACGTGTCATAACAGTGTCACAAATCTCAAAGAAATAAACTCTGACAACTCTGACTAGGCTTAGACTCGAAAACTAGGCTTAGGTAAGCACGTCCGCGTCACAAATTCGCGTTGTAGATCTTAAGCTCCCTGATATTTGGAACATTCACACGCGTTTGCCCTAAGACTAAGAACTGTAATTAAGCTTATCGCAAGGAGTTACACTGGGTTTACACAGGTTTTTCTTACAATGTGAGAACAAATTGATTGAATAGCTTATATAGCAAGCGTGTTTAAAGACAAGTATTTGAAGGCCTTTGAATTGTGTAGGATGTACGAATTGCGTTTTATTGACGATTTTTAAGACATATCTTTTTCTTGTCGGTTAATGCAGAGAACGTTTTCGCGATTCTTCGATTTTCAGCTGCCCACCGTTCAAGTGACCCCTTCAATTATTGGAAAAGTGAGTATAAAATATAAATTGAGCTTTTTTAATATATATGAGTTATAAGTATCCGGCAGGATATTTTTCAATAATCCGGCGTATCTGGGCCGGATAGTAAAATGCTCTCTCTGTCCGGCCATGCACCCCTACTCGCCCTTGCAATTTATTTATCATAATTTAATCATGGAACTTGTTGTTTGTGTAGGTAAACACTGCTTTACAGTTGGTTTTAATCTCTCTATCACTGGCTGCACCGATCTTAGATATTACCGAACATTCGGGCTTGCTAGCTCTGCAGTAAGTGTCAGATAAGATACTTAAAATTTAAACACATTTCCAGGTGCACGGATTGCAACACTGACACTGTATAATCTGTAGTTAGACCAGTTGCCTTAATTTTTCTTGCAACTTGCAATTCTACTCTTGAGAGATGTTAATTAGTGAAATCAGTGAAGAATTTTCGATATGTCAAGAAAACAGCGGAGTGTAATGAAGACTCGTATTTGGCAATTTTACATCTCTCAATAGTAGAATTGCATTGCAAGTTGCAAGAAGTGCACCGTGTAACATGGCCTTTATGGGATTCCAAATAAATTAGCAGTTGCTTTCCTCTTTATTAATAAATCTTTGTCTTATTTGTCCACTGAGAGCAACCTTCAATCTGATGACACAAACAATAGGAACTTGTAAAGAAAGATGCAGTTCAGCCCTTGCAACTGACGCTACAGCCTACAGCTAGCCTGGCTTGTTACAACACATCATTTTGACGTAATTCTTTGACAAATGTTTCAATGTTATAAGAACATATACGGTGTCAAAACTGTCAATTAGTCGCCAAATTTTACCTTGATAGAGTTCCAAAAGATCACCTTCACTTAACATATGCTTGATACGCCCAAAAAGGCCATTCCTGGTGAATTCAGACAGTGGTTTCCTAGAAAATGTCCGGCGGCGCCATCAGCAGCGCTGCCAGGAGAATTTTTAACAAAATATCTGCGCAGGAAATTTTCTCACATCTTGCAGGAAACTTTTGTTATCTTATATACTGGAATGCTATATATTTTACTTACTGCTTAAAAATCCAAAAGCATTTTGCAAGTCGATATTGAAGTAGATCATGTGCGGCGCCATACGTTCTCTGAAATACATATGCAGGAAGTTTTATATTTGACTCGCACAGGACATTTTTATTTTTGGATTTTGCTGTCAGGAAGAGAAATATATTTTCTAGGCCTGATGAGGGCCGAGTGATGATCTTCTAAAGCTCTATGATCTAATATACACAACTCAGATCATAACTTATTTTGTTTTATTAGGTACACAGTAGGAATCACAACGATTGTTTCTGGAATGGACTATTTTATAACACGACGAGGATTCAGTATTTTAGGAAAAGAATAAAGAACGTACTATATGAGAATGTGCAACTTCGTTGTACAGATAGTATATATAAATATCTGTAAAAATATAATTACCATAGCCATAACTGGTCTCTGTAAATAGGTATTTTTCTGAAGTCAAAAAGTTGTTTTATACTGAACTAAATGGCCAGCACTATTCGTATTGTAGTCATATCTAATCCTCTCTAATAACAAGTTTAGTGTGAACCATTACACATGCATAACCTTGACATTATTTATAGGCACAGTTCAGCCTTTTGAACGATGGATTTTAAGGCGCATTTCAGCTCTTTAAATTGAAAAACTAACTAGGAAAATCAATTAAGCGTAATTCAAGATCACCAAACTCAATGTTTTTAACATTTTAAAACATTTTTATTGTTAAACTTTACTGATTTTGAATTATGCTTAGTTTTTTCAATTATAAAGGGCTGAAATGCGCCTTAAAAAACATCGTTCTAAAGGCTGAACTGTGCTTTTAAAAGTAGAAAGAAATTTTGAGCATGGCGTTTTCTAGCGCAGATCGACGTCAACGTTCAACTTACTGGACGATATAGCAGGCACTTGCCCCTTCCGAAACTTCCATTTCTCATTTTGGTGATTTAATTAATTCGATGTGCCATTTCGCATGAAGACCCTGACCCCAACCCTAACCAAATTTATCAAGAAAATCCAAAAAGAATCAACTTGAAAAACTGAAAAAATGACGTAATGTCACATATATCAGTTTGATGCAGTGAAGGTTTGTTAGCACTATTTTCCATCCAGCAAACTGACCTGACGTCATTTTCGGAAGATTGAAGAGGTGTTAAATGGCTATGTAATGTAACTAACCCAAACCCTACCCCTACTCTAACCCCTAATACTAACCCTAACCTAAACCCTATAAACCTACCCAAACTTTTTTAAAAACTGATATAAAAACGGAAACCTTATTTCGAAGTATACTATCTATAGCAATTGCCGGAGGGGAATAGTGCAAAGACATCCGGAGCCGAGCAACCAATCAAATTGCTTAAAAAGCACTATCACGTCCCGAGTATATGCTAATTAGCTTTACCTCTGCTCTTGCGTGAAATATAAACTCTTGGCATAGTGTAAAAAATTTCTTTCTTGATTGTTGATACTAAAGCGTAAACGGATCAAACCAGAGAGACCACGACAAGTTTAGTGACAATGAGTGGAGAAAAATTTGATGGTTATGGCGGTTTTAAAGCGTTGAGCGTAGACAGTACGTCAGAAGATTGTAGGAAACTCTATGTGGCTTGGAGCGAGACTTACGACGAGGTTTGTATAGCAGCAATACCACTAGAATACCAAGTTACAATTTGAAAGGTCAGAATGGCCTGAATGGGTGGTTGGCAGCCTGCGGCAGATATTACCATTTGCGTTCGACAGTTTATCTCGTATTAATGTTTCAAACGTTTATACACGCTTGAACGCCAATCGCAAAATTGCCGTGTTTGTGGACAAAATACCGATGGGCTTTGCTGAAAACATTATGTTGCAATCGCGTGGGTCGAACCGGAATTTAACTCATTTTAATATTCAGCATTAATTAACGAAGTTGAAACAATAGTATATTCTGACCAAAACATGAAATACATAATCAATGGTTAGTGATGTATTTTTATCTTCAAAGCTATCCTGCAAGAAAATTGCGCATAAATCTTGCCCCATGATTGAGCAATTCGACCAGATGTTGTCAAATGATTGTTGCATAATACAAATTATGCACAAATAAGCCCCCCCCCCCCCCCCCTCTTCTGAACCCTGCAGAAAAAAGGGATTTCCTACCCCTTAAGGAATTTGGCATTTTCTGCCACCTTTCAGAAAATCGGATCTGCAAGGGTTAGTGTGAAATGGACCTATAAATGCACACCCTTTCAATGGTTGAGCACCTGACTGGAAAGTTTGGAAATTGCGCACCGGAGATTTCAAAAATTTAATAGTAA